CCTGGCTGAACTTGAGGGCGTGTTCTTCGCCGGCGAGCTGGAGATTACCGGAGACGAAAACGAGCATACCGGAGGCAGGACCAGAAGGTTGACAATCGACGGTGGAGATGTTATGCTTGCACTGTTGAAAAGGGAGAGTGGTGAGCTTACCGACGATGCTCTGGACTCCTTGGATCTTCTGACCTTCGAAGGTGAGCATGGAAGCTTCCTGGTAAAGACCGCCGAGACCCGCACGGTTGGTGTCGAAGGTGGAATAGTAATGTTCGACGAAGGCCTTAGCTACCGCGTCGGGATCCATCTGCGACATTAGAGAGAGAGAACAGGCGAGTTTTGAAATTGAGAGGCCAAAGGGGTTTTTGGGGTTGGATTTATTCAAGATGGGAGACTTTGTGAAAAAACTTTGCGTCGCTACGACGCTGCTTTTTTTCCTTTCTTTTTAGGTCAATTTATTTTCTTTATCATATTATATAGTTTAACGCGACATGTGATAAAAAAAATATGATTAACCAAGATTTTATAGTGACTATCTGTATAATTAAAATTTAATATAGTAAAAAGTCATAATTTGTAATGTTTTTAAAAAATGGACTTATTAATTATTATAACGATATTTTTTTTTGTCGTTGACATATCTTTTTAAAAGTCCAATGGACCGGAAATATTAGGGCCAAATCCAGAAGAAATTACAACAACAAAACAGCCCAAAATAAAACCTAGAAAATCTGATCAGCCGCCACTAATCCGATCAGGCGATACATCTCTTCCACCCTCCACCGATCTCAAAATCACCGCGCCAAATCAAATATTAAACGCATTCTGAAATCCTCCACACCTAGGAAGCTTCATCGTCGACAACACCTAATACTGATGAAATCTTTGTTCATTGCTCCTGCGTCTGGAACAAGAGGAAGAGCGACAAAGATATTACTCCTCAAGTACAAGAGAAATCAGAGAGGATCCAACGGTTATGAACAAGAAACATGAGATCGGATTTCAAGACAAAACAACCACAAAAACGGTTAAGCCGGAAATCGAAACCAAAACAAGTCGGAGCCAAAATCGTACTAAGCCGAAAGCTTCAGATCTGTTAACAAAACATATCAGAAACCCAAAAACCCCAAAGTAGTATAATGATATTTGTATGCTAAAGTATTGATAAAACATATATTATGTGATTGGTTATCTTATTCCGGTTATAATTATTAATTATAAAATAAATTCCAAAAATATTACATCCGATTTTTTGGTGCAATTTCTTTTAACAGTTTTAATTATTCTGTAACAGATTATAAATTCCATTATCCGCTAAAATATTTATTAAACTTAAGTCACCAATTAGATCCACAATCATTCTAAAAGACTAAAACTAATCGTTTCATCCATCAAATAATGTATCAAAACTTTTTTGGTTTAACATATAACAGAAACTAACTTCCCCTCTTATTTATTTAAACATATACAAGTAAAAATTAATTTATATTTTAAGTTTGTTATTTTTTATAACAAATATATGATATAAAAAAACTAATTTTACTAATTATCTTAGGTAGTTCTTCTATTAATTTTCCGTTGTCCATTTTTTCATAAAAACAAACAAAATAATAGTGTTAGCTTAAAAAACAATGAAAGTTATCAACAGAAAGGAAATAGATACTCAGAGTATATCAACAAAAACGTAATATTTTTTTAAAAATGAAAACTTTCTTTTTTGGGGGTTTTAATGTAAAAACCAAATATTTACATTTGTAATTTTTATCAAATAACACCATTGACAACCTAAAAAGAAAAACCAGATATTGTTTACCTCAAAATAAAAAAGATCCAAAGCTTTTTTTTTCGATTAAAAAAGAAAGTCTTTTTAAAAAACAAAACAGTAAATTTTCATCTATAATTTATATGAAAGAATATGTAGCACATTGCAAATCCATAAATAAACCCTAAAAAGGATCAAAGCTTTTGTGTGATAAACATCAAATAAAGAAAACCGAAGGCTTCTCAAGCTATGGAAGAGAAACAAAAAAAATGTTTTTTAATATGAGAGAGAAAGAGTATATAACAGAAGAGACTATATACGTAGGTAAATGGGTATATGAACCAATCCATGTCGTACATTTTCTCTCTTATTAAAAAAAACAGAAACGTTTATACTTTATAACTTGTGTCATCCCAATAATGAGATTGTTCTATCCATTGTTGAATATAAGCGTATCAATACAACAACAATAAGAATTGTGGATATAACATATGGTCAACAATGTGAAATTTGATTCAGAAATAGGTATCAATAACATCAAAACGACTCTCAATTTTACTAAAACATTTGGAGTTTGCGTAGGAAGTCAGTGCAGTCATCATGGAGAATTTGTAAAAGAAAATGCGTTCATCTAAAAGAGAGTAAATTTATTTATTTTTTTCTTCAAGATATATGTTGATTCCAAATAAATAGTTATGAACAACTAAGTCTTATTCATTGTTTCGTATGTCAGCTGTTATAAAGTAGACACGTTTAATCACTTGACTTAGATTAAAGATGTAGATCTTGAAGAAATATTTAGAAAATAACATGCTATTATTACTGTGACATTGACGGCAATAACATAAG